AGCTGTCACAACTGCAAAAACTCTACTAATACACACGCACACTCTTGCATATTCACACTCACCCACACACACCACTTTTCCTGCTCACACCTTTTCCCGCTCGCCACGACTCTCTCCAGTTGGTGCTCATGTGCCCACTCTTGGTTGCATGTAAACTGTGTGTGCGTTCATATGTGAACATGCGGGCTTTTTGTAGCGGTGGTTCCAGCTGAGTATAGACATGGTTTCACCCACCTCTGCTTTTGCAAGGCAACAGGGAAAAGAGATGAGCTTTATTTTATTTTGCTCCTAATTTCAACTAGTTTTGTCTATGAGAGCAGAGAAGCAGAGGAAGTGACTTCTAGGTCATTTATCCCCTCTATTTTTTGAATTTCCACTTTTTATGCGCTCCAGACTCAATTATTCTCTCAGCCCCAAGTGTCCGATCAGATACATTTTGGAGCTTAATCAGATGTTTGGCCACCTCTCATCTCACCATCCGTGTGTGAAATTGCTCTGCTGCTGACTCTACATGTTTGGGTGTGTACGAGGGAGTCAGTGCAACACCAAATGCTTCCTTTTTTGTCAGCAACACCATATGCAAGGTCATAAATCTGATCACCAGCGCAACAGAATCCAGCGACACTGTTGCTTGCAGGAAGCAACCGGGATTAGCAAGGATTTATGGTCAGGCCGTAGATAACACAACCATCACTTGTGAATGCACCCATTATCCGCTCTCTTAAGATGACAGACTGTCAACTTTGCAAGTAGAAATGAAAGTGCAAGTAGAAACACAGATGAGTCTTGGAATATATTTAATTTTTACAACGTCAATGTCCAAGAAAACGAGGAGTCTGAAACATAGAGCAGATATTGGGTTGAAATTGAGCTCCTGGTTGTAACTATTACCCATGTGGACTTTTTCCACTCTGGTAATCTGGCTCCCACTTTTATGTTTGGACCCTTTAAAAGGCCCATTGAGACGTGTCTACATTATTTTCAACACATTGGAATAAATTTGCTATTGCTCCCTGATGCATAACTAATATGCACCCCCTCTTGAATAATTAAGGCTAAAATGAGAAATAAGAAATGAATGAATAAATCATCAGAAATTTTCAATTAGAAATTGCAGGTGTGACACTTGGATGTGGAGATTATATCTTTTGAAGGCGATATTAAATATTGTCACCAGTTTTTATGATCCAGAGAAAAAGAATAAAATTTTAAATGATGACAGATTTGAAGCCCTGGCTTTGACAATGTTACTTTTACACACTGATTCAACAAGAAACTAAGAATAAAAATCTTGCCAAGGCAATTCCAAGCAACTATAAAAGCATAAGCCAATACTTTGCAAGAGTTGTTAACTAGGACACAGAGGGATTATGTTTCTTTGGCTTTATAGTATTTTTACGAAAAAATGTCATAACCTAAAGAGATTCAACAACGTTTAACATTGAATCTAAATCTGTAACGTAAAAGCTTTATTTTTTTATTAAGTGATAATATTAAGTGATATAATATAACCGGACACAATACTATATTACTACATACACTAAAGAAATGAAAAGTTAATAGATTTCAGTAACTCAGTTCACCAAATATAACATGTTGTATGGATTATTTACATACAGATTGACGTATGTCTTTAGGTCTTTATTTCTGTTCATTTTGACGATTTTCCTCTTAAGCTAATGAAACAATAATATTTAGGATTAGAATGTTACATTAGACCAATAAAAAAAAAAAAAAAACATTTCCAGTACAGAAATATGGGCTTTGCCATATGTTCAATGCTTCCTCAATGATTGTTATTTTCAAAAGGTACTTCTAATCTGACAAATGGGCCTCGTTGAATTGCATATTCTGATTTATTGAATACATAAATTGGGATACACAGTGTAATTTGATATCAAGACTTACTATGTGATATAAAATGACACAAGAAGTACGATATACTATGAGTTGATATTATATGAGTGAAAATGATATGATAAAATACAACGCTAGTTGAGAAAATTCTATATAATACAATACAACAGAATGACACTCAACATAATATGATACAATTAGATGTAATTTGATATGAGATAAGACAATAAAATATGATTTGAGATTAAAAAATATGTTGTGATGCAATATACCAGACGGAAATATAAGATAGACTATTCACAATAAGGTGGGATTACAAACAATATATGTTATTATGTATGATATGAAGTCATTTTTAAAATTCCAAATGTAGGGACGCATGTGTTTCTAAAATACTTATGTTTTAGAAACACACGAGGCTCAGCATCATTTCCCATTATATTTGTGTAAACAAAAATGTTTATTGTGGCCGAGCAAAAACAAATGCTGATCTATTCATTCTGCCATCGTTTTGTTAAACTGCTAGACCTTTGAAGCGTGGGTACTAACTCCACTGATGTATCTCAACATTTCTACGCCACTCTAACTTTTAGAAATACAAATATTTAGAAGTGTGGAGCTTCTTTAAGAAAAACAATTTCCATATTTAGACTTATTTAACTCCTATTTGTAAAGCTAACATTTATTAATCTGATACAATAAGCTTATTTTACCCTAAAGTCTGTTTATCTAAAAGTCTGTTTAAAAGACTGTAAACAACTCTTTTCTCTCTCTCTCTCTTTCTCCCTCTCTCTCTCTCTCAAAGCTGCTCTGTGCTTTTCTCTTGGAGACGCCTCAGTGAGTGAATGTGTGCCTGGCAGCGCCAGTCTGCTGTTGGTTGCTCTCGCCAAGGCCTGACAAACAGGGGTGAAGCCTGGCAGGATGCCCCCTGGTGCCCCCGCCTCCCCACACGCTACAGTCGGTCCAATGGCAGCTGAAAAAGGGGGACGCCAAGAGATCAACAGTTGCTCTGACTTTGGTTGAGCGACTGGCCAGGCTGCTGCACACCAGCCAGTGCACACTTGGGGCACCTGACCCTGGGTAAACTGACAAATGCCTTTGCTTTGGGTGTGCCTGCAGAGTGTTATGACCCCAAGGCCCCGATGACCTTTCTGCATCGGGTCTGCACATGCAGCCACATTACAGCCAAGCTCTGTCTACCTTATTTTTAAAAGTCACAATACTGAATTACTGTTACTACTCTTCTAGGATTGCTTGAGTTGGCATAATGTGATCTGAAGTGTCTCTAAGGAAGCTTGTGTTACAGCTATTATGTGGAAGTGTTTGGATGCCTACTTGACTTTTGTTTCACAGTTTACAGCACTTCAGAGACTTCTTTATTATATTTGCTGTTTTATTAGTTTTAGCAGAGCGACCACACCAACCTTATGTAATTCCTCTCAACTGGCTCTGCAGTTTACATTCGCACACCTGTTTATGGTTTTATGTCGCCACGTATTTCAATGGAGACCTTTTAAAAGTACATAAAAGCAGATGGCACACTGAATATATGTCACAACCTTCCAACGTACAGCACGGCCACTACGTATGGTTAACTCATTTCTGCAAGGCTTTTAATTTCCCTGAAACCAGGAATGGATTCCAGTGACCCTTTCCTATATTCCCTCCAAAATGCCCAGCTGTTGCTTCAGTGGACAGCTGCTTTGGGGGCAGAACAAATCTCAGCTGTCGACGGGGAGCTGTACGTGGGGGTTGGTGGAGCCTGAGGTTTGGATTCTCTTAAAGCCAATGACACTTCGCTCTTCGGCCCTGCATGGCGTTGGGTGGAGTGTGGTAAAATGCTGACAGCCAGCAGATTTGGAGACAGAATGCTCTGTATGTTTGCAACCAAGCCACTCGGTACGTCTGAACTGTGTGCTAGAAGAGATATTTAGGAAAAAGGTCAACTTCATCTTGTTGTAATTAAACTCATAATAAGGAGAGGAATAGCCACAGCGCTTAAGTTTTAGAGTATTCTAATATGCAGTAGGAATCAGCTGAAGTACTCCAACTGAGAGCAAATTAAGCTCATCTGGAACAAAAAAAAAAACTGTAGTTTTTGTTTCATACCATTAAACCTTCATGTAACTTTTTGACCTGTGATTTTCCAGATCTTAATGACCCTCAAATTCACAGTGCTGTGCACAAATAATGAATTTTCTCACACTTTAAAATGTTGCAATCACAAACTCATGTATATATTACTGGGAATTTATGTAACAGACAAAAACAAAGTAGAAAAATTACTTTTTTGTTTTAACTTTTATAAAAAAAATAAAATAAAATAATAAAAATCTGAAGCTTGGCTCGCCCCTGATGCGCCCCTAAATGAAATAAAGTACAACTAGTCATCTCAACTTTTCATTTGTGTTTGTAATATAAGGTAAAACACTTTACGGGGTGTGAATACTTTTACGAAACAGCTTTTTTCAGATGGTGTCTATCTAAAGTTCTCATTGGGCGAGAGGCAGGATTCACCCTAAACAAGTCGCCAATCCATCTCAGGTGTGTAAATCAGATTTTTCTATTTTACATTAGTGTAGCACCCTCTTGTGGCGTTGTCCTGAAATCGCAGGTAAAGCACGCTCCACAGGTGGCAAATGTGTTTCAGTTGTTTTTCCCAGAACCCCTTTTTTTTTTTTTTTTATTACTACTGTCATTCTTCTAACTAGGCCCCTTCATTGTTTTATTCCAAAATAAAACAAAGAACGGCCAAATGCAATTTTAACCACAGGTTGTTTAAACCAAAAAGAGAAAAAAAAAAAAAAAAAAAAAAAAACTGTTGTATTTGCCTAAATATATGACTGCAAGCAAATACAGATTTTAACATATACATTTCTAAATTTATACGTCTAAATGTGAGATTTCATGACGTTTAGCAAAATAATGGTTTACAAGATTCATTTTGTTTTTTGTAGATTTTACTCCTCATAAAATCTGGATATGAGTAAAGAAAGGCTTTCAGCACCAAGGACAGTGTCGCCCTGTTTTTATCATCGAAATTTCAATATGTTTGTTTCTTGTTTGTTGATCCCAGCTTTTCTGCCCAAATCGGCACCTCTCTCTTAAGCCTAGGCGTGTTTTGCGAGTTTCTGCCGCTTGCTTCAAATCAGTTGTAAGTTTTGATCTCCCGTGAAGGTGGGGTTTTCTACTGCATCACATGCACTTGATGCTGCTGCCGCTCTCAGCGCCGAGGCTGTTGTCCTGAAACCAGACGGACATCAGGAGCAGGAAGCTGCAGAAAGACGCAGCCAGCGTTTTGCGACATTTTCACTCTTACTTTGAAAAGCAGCGAATTGCCCAGAAAGATGCGTTCAACGCACAGGTGAAAGAACGTCGAACTTCTGCACAGCTGCAACTTTCTTTTAATTTCATTTCTCGTGGATTTGGTTGATGTTTTCTTTGAGATTGTAGTTTGAAATAACCGAGAGAGAGACACCGCAGTTGTTGAAATCTTTTTTTTTTTTTTTTTTTTTTTTTTGGGGGGGGGGGGGGAAGCGATGTCTCGCAAGAAGGCAGCCAAAGGCAAAGCCCCTAACAGCAGCCCGTCAGCTGGCAGCCCAGGCGGGAAAGGCGTCGGGAAAGCTGCCAGGAGCAGCCCGAGCATTGTTCAGATGAACGGCGTGGTGCATCCCAGCAGACCCTCCATCAGCAGCAGCAACGAGTTTTATGACATCGCTTTCAAGGTGAGGTAAAACAGCAGCGCAGGTGAGGCTTACTTTATGTGAGTCAGTTCGATGAAAACAATGTTATAACGGAAAAGGGCGAGGGGCGATTTGATCATATCATGGGTTGCCCACTTTTATACAACAGATGTACACTTTTTTCATGCTGCAGATGACACGACATTGCATGCAGGTGTGTGTGCGTGTGTGTGTGTGTGCACCCTTTGCATACACACGAAGCAATTGTTGCATGGTTTCATGCTCGGAGAGGACGCGTGTGAGTGGAGAGCTGCCACTTCACAGAAACGCAAACAGATTCACACCCACGGCTTTTCATTGTGTGCCTCCAAAACGCTTCAAGTCTGCCACCTACTTCATGTTTTTGAAGCGACTGTTGCGAAGCAAGTTTGTTGGTCTTTTCGCACTATATTACGACATTGCTATATATGAATCCACAGCTGTTTGTATTAATTAAACTTTTCCACACTCTGCCACAAACTACAGACTTCAGTGCATTTGTAGGGGGGTTTATGTGAAAGACCAGTATAAAGTTGTGACGCTTCCAAGTATACATTCTGAAAAGGCTGCTGTTCAGTCCCATTGCATCCCTACCTTGAAGAACCTTCTTTCAATAAAATGTGATCTGCAGTTGAAACGTAGCTGCACATGATGCAGTCGGCACCATTATGTTATGTTATGGTGTGTTCAGGCTGATGTCCAATGCTCTGCCATTTTGCATGTTGACCAGAAATCATGGTCTCATCGCTCACTGGAGCACATTCTTCTTCATATTTACTGCGTCCACTAAATGGCTTATAGCAAATACCAATATGAGTTTTTGGCTTCATTTCAACAACCACTTTCTTCTTGTTGCTCTTCAATAAAGGCCCAAATCTGTAACCATCAGCAGATTCTGACACTTGTTCCAAGGTTCCTGTTAGCTTTGTAGCTTTTAGTCACTAATGAATCTTGTTGAATTCAGGTAATAATAATAAATAATAATAGAAAAAAAACAAGCATAAGATCTGCTACTGTAACTGTGCATCTGCTCAGTGACCCTGTTTCTCTGCGTCCCTTCGCTCTGCTTCCTCTACCTTTCATCTCCTGTCTGCTTCCTCTCTGGACCCAGGAGCCACTTTTGATTTCCATATCTGGGTCCCAGAGTCCCTCAGCTAACCTGATAACTGTAATCACATAAAACCTTTAATCCAATCTCAGCTCTGAATGAAAACCATGTGTCTGTGACAAAGAAGCGCAGCAATGTATGTTTGTTCGGCATGCACGGACACACTTACAGGAAGGATGCAGGGTCATCCACTGTCCACAAACTCAGTCATGTGTGCACTCTTCACTGACCAAACACAGAAATACAGAGGGACTGGAGTCTTTTCACACCCCTACATAGGATTTTTATTCCCTTTTTTTTTCCCTTGATGTGCTAATTTATTAATATTCATGGGTTCAATGTTTAGCACTACTCATCCCATCCTTCCAAATTGACTTTTCAGCTCATGTGTTTTATGCAGGTTATGCTTGTCGGTGACTCTGGAGTTGGGAAAACCTGCCTGCTGGTCCGTTTCAAAGACGGGGCTTTCCTTGCCGGCAGCTTCATCTCCACAGTGGGAATCGACTTTCGGGTGAGTTCGAATCAATGGGCTGAGAAAGCAATCACAAATTCCCCCACAAGCAGTACATGTTCTTTCATATTTTTCATGTTTAGCGCTGTTAGTGAAACAGGGCCAGCCTCTAATAGGATTCTTTTTAGAGCCATTCTGTGTCTTTAAGGCCCTAGAGCTTTGAGCATTTTCCTGCGTCAGAAGATAGATATTGATGTCTTAAATTAGTTTGACATGTTTTACTTTTTCAGCCTATCTGGGTGATTATGGTGTCTATCATGTACCAACACTAATGGGCAGCCGGGAGAGAATGGGTCCACTTTTTTAATGAGACTCGTAAAGAAATCAGTACGTCATAAATTTAATCCGGGAGCCTTTTTTTTATTATTTTATTTGTTTGACATAAATGCCAGAAAAAAAAGGCAGATTTATTCACATATAGACATTAATGACGCACCTCAATAAATTAGTATTTCATTGAAAAGTTAAGCTATCAAATGTTATTCTGTTCAAAAAGTGAAACATTAGTTAGATTCTTTGATATATGGAAAGGAATATTTTTTTGTTGATTTTTGACTTCAGCTAAACTCAGTGCTTCCATACCCACCGCATACAGACAATATGTGTCAGAAGGGAATTGGACGGCAATGGTCCGAGGTCTTCTTTTCAGTGGAAAATATGTTTTGTGCAACTCATTTCAAAACAAAGGTCCCAAAGTCTGGAGGAAGAGGAGAGAGCGGCTGAATTCAAGCTGCTTCAGGTTCAGCGGGACGTTTTTACACTCAGTGACGATTTGAGGAACCATGTCACCTGCTGGTGTTTGTCCTCTGAGTTTTTTTTTTTAACAAGTCCAAAGTCTGCACAGCCAGTAAAATTCAGAGCTCTTCATGCTTCTGCTGAAAAGCCACGTGAAGGTTCAGTTTTTATTTTCCAGCATGATTTGGCACCTGTCGACACTGCCTAAAGTATACAGCACATACCTGCTTTATTTTTTAGCTACGATATCACTGTGATGTAAGCTTACCTGAATAAAACCATATGGAGAATCTGTGGGTTACTATCAAAAGGAAGCTTAGACAATGTAAAAGACCTATTAATGCAAGTTGGGCTTCTTTGCTATCTGAGCACAGCCACAGGCTGATTGCCTACGTGTCAAATCACTGATGCTGTAATTCATCCAAAAGACACTCAAAGTACAGTGCATATGCTGCGCAGTACATAAACTATTTTCAGTAGACCACTAATTCTGTTATTTTCTATGGGTTTTGTTTAATATGCATTATCTAATTCTTACAAACTTAGAATTTTAGTAGTTTTTGTTGTAATTATCAAAATTGACACAAATACATTCTTGAAATAGCTCACTGGTGTAGTGCATCTATTTAAAATATTGTTTCCTCCTTTGGATTTCATTAATTAAGTAAATTAACTTTTCAGTGGTACTGTAATTTATTTTATAGAGGATTTTTCTGTCCCATCAAAACATATTGTCCAGTGTATCCCGCACATTGTTCATCATGCCGTCTGAAAAGTCATTGGCTGCAGGTTAATGACTTGGCCTCTGCGGGCCTTGACCAATGTCTCTGAGCTCCTTTTGCAGACAACAGAAATGTAAGAGACATTTGGGCAAAATGACTTCTGTTTTGAAACATTTGCGTACATAGAAAAGCTGGTCTAGAGTGAAGGTTTTGTTAGCACATTACTGCTGGTCTTAAAATGTTAAATATTTACGTCTACACATGCTACAATATGCTATAGCAGTTTACAAATGGAAACCATCATGACAGGCTCAAAGACCTTAAACACCTGCATCTTGTTGTTGCATTTTGTCCCGTCTTATACTCAGTGGGGATAATCAGTCATTTGGCAACTGGTTGATTGAGATTTCAGTTCCAGCTCCCCGCCACCACATGTCGAAATGTCTTTGGGCAAGATACTGAGCCCCATGTTGCCCACCAGTCTGTGAGTCCGTCTGTGAATGAGCAAATGTGATTGCAAAAACTGCCTGAATGGTTGAAAGACCAATGGAAGCCATAGAAATGAAAATTACTTAACCCTGAAGTGGTGTCATTTATTTGTTTACATTTGTAAAACTGATTAGGAATTAAAATCTAATAAAAACCAAACCCAAGATCTTCTGTTTCTAAACAAAAATAAGTTTTAACACTTCATTTTGCTGTTAAATAAATTTGGATAGTTTCTCTATCAAGGTTTCATATGAAAATGTTATGCCTATGTCATTTTAAATAGAAAAATAACAAGTATTCAGATCCCTTTATTAACTTCATATTGCGATCATCAGGATCAGAAAAATTATGATTTTTTTTTTTTACTCGCTGCTTTTTACACACAGCATTGAAACACGTAGAACTGAAACAGACACAGGGTGGCAGAAAAGCACCAAGTTGTTTCCCAACTTCCTTTCCATTTTTTAAGACAGAATGTTTTTTTTGTTTTTTTTTTGTTTTTTGTGACACAACAAAGACTAATGCCATCACACACCAGTTTGGACCGTCATATTGTTTAATGTTACTGATAACTATGTAGAAACTGTGTTCACAGGAGGTCATCTATCCTTGCTAAACTTCAAAATGCAAACATGACAAATATGCCATTCAAATTGATCAGGTAAGATACTGACTACAAAAAGCTACTTACCCTAACTGGCTTGCTGGAAGTTATTCAAAATTATTGGACTTTCTAAGCTGCCAACATGAAAACTTTTCCACTTTGTGAAAATGTTGACTTAGATTTTAATGTTTAGAAATGTATATATGATCCGAGGTCCTTCTACTCTCTTAAGGCACATTTGCCACCTGTTCCTGTTGAACTAAAGTATCTGATCCTTGTGTGTGTGTGGGCTGGATGTGTTTGTGGGTGGATGAGCAGTTGGTTTATTTACTTATGTAACACATGGCATAGCAGTAGCACAGTTAAGTCCATCTAAGGACACCAAAGACCTTCATCAGTTCTCTCTCTCTTCCTCTCTCTCTGTCTGTAACATTTCCTGCTAATGGATGATAAATTACAAAGCTGTTTCTTACTGCTTACTCTGTTCTTTTGTATTTTTGGCTCATTGTTTAATTGCAGTGCTGCTCCACTCAAGGCTCCAGCTCTTTTATGCTCATGTTTTAAATGTTTTCATGCAGGTGAAATAGAAATCACTAAATTCATGAAATGTGTATATATATATATATATATATATATATATATATATATATATATATATATATATATATATATATATATATATATATATATATATATATATATATTCTAGTTTACGACATTCACGTAGAACTTAGCTGGTTGAAATACACAGATGCATTATAATTGCATACACGTAAAGTGTAAAAAGAAGTCAGTTTGCCTGATGAGTTTAGAAACCAGGACATTTTTTTTTTGAGATGCAAAATTTGGCTTTTGTTTCTTCTAATGGAGAGTCTGCAGAGATTGTGTGACAGGGTGTGATTGTTATTTTTAGGGACGACAGTTTTGATTGTTGTTTGGAACAAAACACAATTTGCTTTGTGCTGGGATTTTGATCCTGTTCCCACTTCAAAGCTGCAGCAACATTCCATGCTTCTGTCCTTTTGAGTTTTACTTTCATGTTGTTTAAATCTCAACATGTTATCAGGATTATGGAAATTCCTCAGTGCATCGTTTGGCTTAAACTGAAGCAAATCTCAGTGCAGAATGCAATGTCACGTTTCATTTGTATTTTTAAAAAATGTGCTTTGGAATCTAATTATAGCAGGGGTGTCGCATTATTGCAATGTATTAATAATAAGGTTCTTTTATGCATCGCTTTTTACATTTATGTAAATTTGATGGTATGAATGAAATTAATTAGATGCAAATTCTCCTCTATAGCAGCCTAATGAATCAAACAGTGACATAAATTAGTATTCTAGATAATGTCTTTGGCTTGCTGAGGATTATTGTATTACCTTTGTTTTATCTTCAACTCTGCTGCATGTGGAGCATTTATTTGAGCCAGTAGATAAATTAAGGTTTAGTTTTCATAGTGAATCTTTTAATCATTCTGTTATGTTTCAAACCACAACACAACATGACCTTGTAAAGTAAGTAATATAATCATGACCAGCAAGTTTTTTATTTTTTTTTTATTTTGTTTTTTTAATTATAGAAATTAGAATATCATTTTTAATTTTTTTTTTATTATTATTTTAAGTTGCCATTCTGCTTTTAAAATAGACCTGGTATTTCAATACAGGTAGTAGTGTTTTGCATCTGAAAGAAGACTCTTCCCCCCCACTTTTAAAATTGCTCTGCTCCTATTACAAACTCCTGTCATAATCCTAAAATCCAAGAGTCTTAATTTGGAAATAAATTCAGAAGACATTGAAAAGAAAGTTCAAGTTCCCTTTAGGTTGCTTTTATTTTTATGTTGGTTTTTTTTACTGCTATATTGTCTTTGCTTCATATTAGGACAAACCTTTCAAAAATGTTTCTGCACTTCTCAGTAAAAACTTGATTTTAAAATATCAATTATTGGCCAGTTGCACTATGCTTTGGACTCTCCCGCACAGTGGTCAGTTGGGCCTCGACTGACTCATGTTACATAAACAGCAAGGACCAGAAAGGTTTTATTTTTTCTTTATTTGTTCTTTTACTTCTAACATTAGTGTTCAGAAAACACTAAAATCCTTGTTGATACCAGGATTACAGATATAGAACGTTACAGATCAAATCCAAAAATGACCAAATTATACCATATATCATGATTTAAAGAGGAGTCCGTGTCATAGGCTTGTCCAAATACACGAGTTTGTCCTCATTTACCTTTTTGAGTCATGAAAATCGTGGGGACATTAACCAGGCCAAGCTTTACCTGAAGCTGAGCCTGGATCCGTATCAAGTTCCAGACTTTCAAAATCACTTTGAAAGGCATGCATAGCCAATGAAATAATCAAAAATTGAAATATTGTTGAAAGTAAAAATGTCATGGTTGTCATTTTCAGTCATGTCCCTTGACTGAAAATAAAAAAAAAATAAGA